TGGGATGATTAATTTTAAATGATTAGTAAAATGATCCCAATTATGTAGATACACTTTGCTAAGCAACCTGTCTACTGAAGCCTCTCTCATTAAACATTAAAGATAATCTCATTTATTCAGAAAGAACACTGCCTAACATGGTTGCCTGTCCTATGATACGCCAAACATAATACTGTCATAAAGATTAATAATAGGAATTGCAATTATTTTCCACAAGATGTTAAGAATAACCTGGCCAAATACAACAGCATATCTGAGCCAGCATGGAAAAGCAAGGAAAGCATTTAAATTAAAAGTGTTTAAAATATTCTGGGATGCATGACCAAACTGTGAAAGTGGCCAGAAACAGCAACACTGCAATCATACAGATCAGTGGTAACCTCATGGCTTACGCTAAAAGACACATTAATCTAAGAAACTGAAAAGGAACTGCTGAGAAATCTTAGGTTATCAGGACATCACCATCACAGTTTAAATATGAAATCTTAATTCATATCTAGCGCAAGATCTAGCTTTCCAACTTAAACTTTTAATAATCTAGGAAGATTTCTTAGATAGCGATAACTTCTACATTTTTATACGCAAAGTATGCAACATTACCTGTAGTGAAGATTCCCTAACACTTTCCATTATGATCCTCAGTATTATGTTCTTTATAACTATGCCACATAATTACTGTTAGAGTTAAAACTCCCCATGCTTTCATCTGCCTCAGCATACAGGAAAATAGCATTTTTTGCCAAAGTTGTTTCCCCCTATCTCTTTTACTGAAGAGGCACCCTCACAATTTGGAGCTACTTGAAATTTGCAGTAGCCAGTAGCTCTGGTAGAAATTTTCTACTGAAGTCTATGAATATTCTATATACTTTAAATGTGTTCCCTAGCTCCTTAAACGTTCACCTTTAAGGATAATTTTCTTACATACAGATACTACCCCTGCATACAAAGTAAAATGAGTATATGTCAAGCTTCACGGTTACCCTGCATATCACTGGTATTAGCCCTTATCCCCCAACAGCATGCTTCCAAGGAGCCCCTAATCCACTGAAGTGAGTTATGTTCACAAATCACACAATGTGAGCTATATATACCACCTAAGAGCAGCAATTACCCTAACTTCTCCCTTTGTGAATAGTGATATAGGAGCCAGAAAGCAGTGATAAGATTCAGTCTCCTTTCTTCTTGTCTTAATATTTCTATATACTGAAACCTTATTATATGAAGAATGCCTTCATTTCCTGAGGCAAACAGGTATCATCCCCCTCATTTTACTGCTGAAGAAGCAGAGGTTTAATTTAAGAGAAGCAAGGCCTGGAGTATGCCGAGAAGAACAACAGTTGGAAGTCCAGGATGGAGATCCTTACAGGCACATCGCTCAGAGATCGTAAGAAAAGTCCTGCAGCCCACAGCAGGTGATAACTGGAGAGGACCATGCCCAATAATAGAAGGATGAAGCAGAGCTCCACAACCAACTTAGCCATGAAAGAAAATTAAAGGAGCTGGGATATGTTGACAGAGGGAATAGAATTATAGAAAGGGGAGTTTTGGCTGTCCAATCAGTATGTGATGCATGGAGTTGGGTTTGCAGTCCCCAGGCTGCAGTACAAAGTGGAGGGTGTTTGATTATCTCATTCTTCTAGGGATTAGCTAGTCGGCACATAGGGCTGGGAAGGATTTTTTTTTCCCCTTTCAGTGGCTACAGGTGCAAGGGTTGGGTGTTTTTACCTACCCTGCCCTCCTCCCCACACCTTCCTCAGAAGCATTTTGTGTTGGCTGCAGGCAAGGCTGGGAAATTTGAGTAGACAATACTGATGCTTTGGGTGGGACTTAAATTCAGAGGTTTCTGGCTAGAGGATCTTGTTCCTCTGCTCAGGATTAGACCAATAGCCACATTTGGGACCAGGGATCAAGAATTTTCTTCCACAGCCAGTTTGGCATGAACTGTAGGGGGTTGTGCCATCCTCTATAGTGGGTTAATGGTCCTCTTCCTCTCTTGAACATACTTAACAATAATGCCCTTGCAATGGCAGAACACTGACAGTACCCTTGTCTTCATTTTTATCTGTAGCAAGTTAGAGGGTTTTTAATGTCTTGGGCATTGTATCTGGAAACTGGAAACAAGGGTTGTTCTCAAATTTTAAGTACAGGTTAGACAAACACTTGTCTAAGAGAGTTTAGATAAGGGGTATCAAACTTCTCTAGCTCTGTGGGCTAGAGAAGAGGTGTGGGACTGGTCCACAGTCCAGATGAATTATTTGGGATTGGCCCCATGAGCTGGATCAGGTCCACAATACTTCCTCCCATCCATGCTGGATTCAGCGCTCACACTGGCTGGCACAGGACTGTGCCACATGAGATGCCTGCTCCAGCTCATCTGGGACCCAGTGCCCACCCTGGACTCGCTGGAGTGGGCACTGCATGCAATGCACATCCTAGATTGACTGCAGCAAGCACTGCATGCAGCTTTACATCCTAGACTAGCTAATGTGAGTGCTGCATGCAGCGCAGTCCCAGGCCAAGTGTCAGATCCAGAATTTAAGAGTTGAGGGTGTATCTCCAGACTAGTCCTGCATGGGGGCCATGTGCAGTGCAGGTCCTGGAGTGGGCACTAAGTGCAGCATGTATATGGTACTGAGAGTACCATAACATAACTTCTCCCTGAGAGTGCATAATGTCCAAGTGAGCTAACAATAGCAATAATCAATTACTTCTTGGCAGGGGGAGCTCCAAGCTGTAGAACTAAAGGTCTTAGGTTGGAACCATACTGATGACACATGTGGAAGGATCAGTGTCACTCCATATGCTGGAATTTCCATTTCCTTAATTTACTTTATAAATACAAGCATACAAAAAATAGGAAACAGAAAAATTATGACTGCTTATTCATTCTTAATTTGGCCAGTTTGTGCATATGCATTATGATACTACTAGCCAATTACCCATCAGGAATGATGGGAGCAGGGCAGGGACAGAAAGCCACCCCCCCACTCCGCACCATCCTCACCATCATGGTGATGCTCCACTGTGCCGCTGCCACTCCCTGTCTGGAACAGTTGGGGCACTCTAGTTGTTTCAGACAACCAATCAGATTGCAAATAAAGCATTATGGACAGACAGACAGACAGGCTAAGGCTTTTATAATATTAGATGTTTTTATTATATGCATATTATTTGACCTATGCTAATTCTATGCACAGGATAGACAGCAAATAAGACAAAGAAAAGGATTTGTTTTAAAAAAGGTGTGGGGGGGAGGTTGTTCTCATGTACATGTGGCACTGAGAACCAAGAAAACTGGATCTTATTCTAGGTTTCCCCAAAAGGTTCTTATGACTATCAGAATGCACATGCATGAGAAAACAAATTCAAGTTGTACTAGGAAATTTGATTATAACATTTTCTAACTTTTAATAGAGTTTGGCAAAATTTTGAACCCAAACTCACTCTGCTGAAAAATGCAAATTTGGATCAGTTAAAACAGGGGTCGCTAACCTGTGGCATGGGTGCCACAAATGGCATGGACAGCCCCTGTGTGGCACATGACAGATTGGGGAGGGGGCAGGAAGCACAATGGCAGATAGGACAGGGAGCAGAAACCAGAGCAGCATAAGGCAGGAGAAGGGGAACAGAGTGGCACTTGGAGAGGGTGTGGTGCTTAATTCATGGCATGCCACTGAACTAAGTATTTCACAGATTCCTCTCTAGTTTACTGAATGGTTTCAGCGAATATAAACAAACAACATATCCAAATATATCTAAATGCTTTGAAGTGACCTTTCCTTAATTAATCTCTTTTTTTTTCCCCATTCAAAGTACTTCATTACAACATTCAAAACTGTGGTTTGGAGCGTTAGCAGAATTCATAGATATTACCAGGTATTACCTGATAGGGGTCGCATCGTAAACACCTCTGCTATGGCCCCCCTACACATATGCTGAGTAGATATGCCCTGTATGGGAGAGATCTATACATGCTAAGCACCTTGACCCCGTCCTGAATAATAGCTGCTGATGCATCACAAAATATCTAAAGCCTACCAGTCTAAACAGCGCATACCTGCTGGTTGGCATTGCTCCACTTAATATCAGAAGAGCAGTGGCCAGCAGGATAGAACAATTGAGACAAACCAAAGATATGAGACACCCACTGTACAATCATCCTGCAGCACACAAATGTCTGAAGTCACACAGGAGTTCTCACCAGCACCCAACCTCTCGATGCCACACCCAAAGAGAACAACTACAGATGTAGAGCAAGAGGCTGAGAAAATACCTGGTAGCAAAAAAAATGGACATTCCAGTGGCTGAGTCTTTACCACCAGGGACTGATGAAACAAGGCAAAAGTGGTGATGTCTCAACTGCCTACACACCAAAGCTGGACACTCCAAGGAACTAATGAAGAAGTGGGACTGTACCATTAGTTCAACTACCTTTTAACCACAGCACACAGCCTCAGACTATGCAATATCTGCTGCAAAGCCCACCGCTTGAAGGCACACGTACAATGTATGATCTCACAAAGTACAATAAACAAGCATAAGCATATGTAACAAAATGGTCAAATGTGGTATAGAGACATGAGAAGAAGATTACAATGTTTTCAAAATGAATAATTAAGGCAGTTTAATTTGAAACAATTTCATTAAAAAAATTAAAAGCTTTGTTTCAGGTCAAATTGGTTTTGGTTAAATGTTTTACTCAACCTGAAACAACTTGCTCCATCTTTTCACTACTGAACATGAAACAAAACAAAACAAAACAAAATCAATTACTGACAAAGCTCTCTTTTTGAGTTACCCTTACTACCATTAGTTGTTTAAATGGACCTAATATACAAAGAGCTTCCTCAAAATCTTCCTCAAAAAACAGTACTACTTTCCTATTTTAATGTAAGAGACAAATGATCCCTCTAGGTTTTGCAACATATGCTATCTTTCATTGAGAAGTGAAAAGATTTAAAGAGCAGAAGTATATTTTGCACATTTTTTATCTACCTCACCTGAAATGCATCAAATCCTCCCCTTGGCACTTTCCAAGAAAAATATATGGTGTGCTCTTCTT